GTGTGTGTGTGTGAGCGTGTGCGTGTGAGAGCGCGGACCCCGGAGCTCTGAGTGAGGGAGGCGGGGACGCGCGTGGACAGGCTTTATGAGATGCGGTTAGACAGCGCGAGGCGACAGAGCGGAGAGAGACAGTTAACCACCGACAGACAGACAGACAGACAGACAGGCAGGTGGGATGGTGTCTCACCGCTGACTCCACTCTCGGTGTTGTTTTAACGGAGCGGAGCGGCGACACGGAGCCCGCAGCAGGAACCGCACAGCCACGCACCGACGCCGGGGAGAGGAGAGGGCACTATGGGCTCCGCTTCGTCCTCCTACCGGGTCATTTACCTGGACGTGGACGGCAGGATCCAGAAGGTAGGGAGGCTCTGTGGGGACACCGTTAATCAATTCATAATTATTATAATTATAATAATAGTAAAGTCAAACAGTATTCAGTTAATTAATGAAGAGATTAATGTCAACAAATTAATATTACAAAGTGATTTTATGAATTAGAAAAAGTTACAAAATTACTAAAAATGTAAAAACAATATATAAAAATGTAACTGTATTTAAAGTGGCAAGTGGTAAATATAGTAATAATAAATATAAAAAAAATAAAATAATAATTAAATAAATGTTATTTGTCAACATCACAAACATGAAAGTCTTTATTATGAATTAGAAAAACTGCTGAAACGACAAAAAAATAAACTTTATTTACAGTAATTGTAGTAATTTATATGTTTATTATTTATAATTCTGAGTATTTGCATTATTGATATTGAATTATCAATAACAAATACATATCAGTTATTGTATTGGTTGATTTGCATCCGCATTGATTGATTAATTAATTAAATATTGGTAATTGTGGAGTTTAATAATTACTCTTTAGAGATAACAGAGGAGGTAAAACACTTAATAATGCCACAGTCCTTACAGTATATATTATATTATATTATGTTATATTATAAGTGTGGTAGCTTAGCAGGTAAAATTACTTTAAAATATTATGAGATGGCACATTTTAATGCATAAAGAGAAGATAGAATAAGTTAAAATAAGATGAAATAAAATCAAATAAATAAAAACATTTACACAGCAGCTCAAGGAAAAGTGAATAAAAATACAATAAAATACAATAAAAGATAAAATATTTACACTTTATACAACCATCTGATACATTAAAAATGAAGCAACTATTGATGTAAGAAAATACTGAAAAATATCATATTGTGACGATTCGATATTCGATTCTGACAGACGTGATCAATTTCCACCAGATGTCAGATGATCAGTACAAATACTTCAAAAGTCAGAGTTCATGCAGACGTCGGACTGTTCTTTATGTCTCAATAAATCGCAGTAAATTGAACCGTAACCTCGGTATCGTGATAATTATTGTGTCACCAGATTATTGAACAATACACAGACGTATTGATCAGCTGATTGTGATCCATATGATACAGTTATTATATTATTTTATGTCTTTTGTTTTTCTAAAGCAGCTTGAAAAATGAATAATAATCACATTTCTCAACATATGGATACAGCAACAGAACCTCTACTAATAATTATAAATAAATAAATCAGATTTTAACGATGCAAAGACGTGAAATTGTATCCGATGAGTTTCTCCTTTGAGCTTTTATGCTTTTATTTATTTTATAACCTCTAATCTGCAGATAAACAATAAACTAAAGGAGCGTAAAGTCACTAAAACTGTAATACTGAGCGATAGAAACAGAAATGTTACTGAAGAATAGGATTTTATTTCTTTGTTTCTTTTAAAGCAGCGATTATTTACCGATGCACTTAAGGCTTTTCTCCCCTCGTTAATCTGTATGTGTGGATGGAAACAGCCCAGCTTTGTTTGTGGACCAGACTTTATAATGACCCTGGTGATTCTCCGCCCCCCCAACAACCTGAAACCAAGAACGAGGACACCTAGTGGAGCGGAGGGGTCGTCACCGCCCACAGTGTTATTATTTCAGAGCAGGATAACTGGCTTTAAAAACATTAGAGAAATGTGCTGTGGTGATATTTTATTATAATATTGTAAAATTATTACATTATTATAACATTTTATAGATGAAACGTCTCTAAAACATCCTCAGAATGTTACAGCAAAGTGTTCAACGTTTGTTATAATGTAACAACTTTC